ACAAAAGCTATAAGAGCTAGTAATACTAGTCAAATTCGAGGATTTCATGCGATAGCGGAAACGAAAAGAGTGTGGGGACAAGATTTCAATCGTGGGCAGGAAAAAATTGCCGAAAGTTTCCTTCCACTGTCGCCATGGGACGAAACTTTTATGGACCAAGCGACGACCCATATGCTGTTCATGAAGGGCAAAAATTCTCCCAGGAATCTTGTTTTCCAGGATAGGAAGCCTGGAGAACATTTCTGCCGTGGACTGTGACTTTGATAGATTTTAGAAGTCACTGGAATCACCCAAGAGGTCTTCTCAACTAATAACTTTAGGCAAAGCAGCATAACATGCAGGGCTGAAGCGTAATTTCTATGGAGACTATATTTTTCTTATGTGTACCTAACAATGATAATTTTAGAAAAGCCTGAGGATTTTACTATGATCTTAGGGGAATTGTTTTCTCAGGCCCTTCCTTGTATGTACGAAGCGATGATCAATTATTATTACCGTGTCGGTATCCAGAAAAAGAAGACAAAAAAGAAGAAGGGAAAGTTATAAGTTGGGATTTTTTTTCAGGGCCATGTAAGTCGTGCAGCAATGGTGCTATCAGCTTTCATGCACTACAATGCGATTTGCAGCAAGTAAGTCTAAATTAGCATTCCGCTTCCTATTTGAATGGGAATTACTTGTTATCATATTTTTATTCAATTGAAATCAACTCATTGCGTGGTCCATGGATGAGATCGCGTTGGTGTGGGAATAGGCGGTAACTGGGACCCAATTGAAAAAAAAATTGTCACAAACCATGAATCAAAAAGTTGCCCAGTTTAGAAGGCGTTCACGTTCTCAAAATGGTAAGTGGAGTAAAAATGGATGAAAGTACAATTCTGACTGGTTCCATTATGGAATTAGCCCACTCATTTGATTTCAATGAAAAATATTGTGGCTTTCGAGTACCCATTTGATCTACACAGTATCCTACCAGGCCATGGGACGTATAACTCAGTGCTTAAATGCTCTCAGACGAGTCTGGTATCAGATAACCCGCCTAGGAAGAAAGTCGCTGTTTCCTCATCCTGGGCGGGTATCGACTTGGGATTTGATGCGCACCTCTGGCCACTATTTCACCTACTCCCACGGTGGTGCTGCCTATTGTTTTGCTTAGGAAAAGGTCTATGGCAGCTTTTTGAGCACTTTAAAAAAGTGATTCCATAAAAAGCCCATTTTTTCAAAATTCTTATGAAAGTAGTCCCGATGCTATAGAAACAACTGGGATACGCGAAGTTGTACATAGTTTTCCATGATTTATTTATGTCTATGTTTTTTACAGTGATGAACCCGTGGAAGATCGTTTTGACATCAAACGCTTTTCGGAGAAATACATTGGAGCAAATGGACAGCCAAGCCATAAACGGTAAGTTTTATAGATAAATTCTAGTCGGAGCGGCTTTCACTACATGAGATACTTCAAGTTAGACCAGATCGCTGGTCCAGCTTCGCTGAGGGATCATTCTTTTGTCAGCCGCTTCCTGTACTCACCTCTAGGTCAAAGCAATGGAAAGGGTAATCAAGGGGCGGCGGGAAGATAAATTGAACGTGCATGGTTGTGGGTAAGATGAAAATTAAGAAAAAAACACTTGATATGGAAGCTTCGAAATGCTGGAGGCGCTTATCTGAGGTACACCTTATTTAGAGTACAACTTCACTCATCTGCAGAGCTGGAATACTTTGCAAATAAATGAAGATGTAATTGGAGGAGTCATTGGGTTCGGCGTCTCTTTCGCTAAGTGTCAGAGCGCCGAAAAGGATGGCCGGGTTCGTGCACCTGTGAAAACACCCAGAAACAGTTCCAAAAAGCACGATATTCACCTAAGCCTAAGGAGGGCAGGATCACCGCGTCAAATGAAATGCTGATTTCCGGCTATGAAGCCCCATACTGGAGGAAGGCTGGAAGAAGAATTAGTCACTAGGATACCATGACGCTGAGCAGAAAGGGGAGCAAAGAAGCAGAAAATGATGTGGGAAAGCTTGTTCCCCTTTTCCATCTTTTTGTAGATATTCCAAGACCAACTCAATTGCATAGCATACCGGGAAAGAACGGATCAATTCCTATCGCCTCAGCGACTCCATTATTCGGTTATAAACTAGTATATATTAGTATAATTAGTATAGCTATATAGTATAAATTATTCAGGTACATCAACTACTTTTCTTCGTTGTTATCCGGCAAAGTACGTGTGAATCCGGCTCCCGTCTACTTGCATCGGATTGCCGTTTCGCATCTCAATGGACGAATTCTTTCGTTAAAAATCTACGAACGAATGAAACCAGTCTATCAATCATTACCAACGTGAGTTTTTCGAAGATTCGGTTGAATATACTCCCTCAAGTTTGCTCCGTCTTCACGGTGTCATCGGTCATTCCCTTGAAATGCACAGTTTCATTTTCCAAACGCTTTGACTCCTTCTTCAGTCATTTGTCTCTTTTTTTCTTACAAGGAGCAGAGATTTAGGAAAAACATTCGATCTCGGACAGCGCTACAATCTGAAGATGCCCTTGCCGACCACCCTCTCACCCATTAGGTTGGCAGGATGGAGTCTTGTAGCGGAGACCAATCACATTTTCGAATGCGCCGCGCATTCCACTTCCATTCAGGTTCATAGGAACGTAGTGGCATTATGGGCGCTTATGTGGTCTACACAATAGGACATATAGTGGTCAATCAATGTACAAACCATACTTTTTTCCTCTCATATTGTTTCGGTATTAGTAAACCGATCCTAGAGGAATGAAAGGCTATTTTGACCTGGGCGGGTAACGATCCGGGATTCTTTTGTTGGTTCATGCGTGTCATAGAGAGCACCTTTTGCCACTTATCCGATTCTACCCTCTTTTACCAATTACTACTGCTACCTCACACACCCCACCCTCACTTCTTGATGGTACATCCACTACCACTTGTATTTAGTATTTACTACCTTTTTGATATTACAAATTGTGCGTATGTATGTGCGTATGTATGTGTGTGAAAGGTATTGATGGTCTGGACGGTATAGGAGGATGTTGTAGCAAGTGGCGCACATCGGGACGCCTTTTAGCGATGTGTTCCCTATTACTCACCCAGGCTAGTGAAGCCTCCCATCTTCCTATCTTGGCCAATTGTAACCCGCCTGTCAGTACACCACCTCTACCCTACTTTACTCATTGCACTACCAGTACCCTCACACACCCTACCTCAGCTTCTTAGCGTTTAGTGACTGCCGCTTCTCGGCACTTAATCATATAATTCAAGGAGTTAATTAACTGATGCTAGCATCACAGACATGAAAACCAAAGGCACAGGTGCAGATTCGTGTCCCGTCCAGGGCCGAAAATTCTGCCTCTAATTTAGCCCTCTTTGAATGACACTTGGCGAACAGCGACAACAACAAGCAGTCAACAAAAACCGCTCTTGAGTTATGCTGCTCTACCTAAGTGCTTACTCCATTCTTCTTTATGAATAGGCAGCCGCCTTATATAAAGCACCTTAGGAACTTGCCATCTGAAGACCTTTGGAACCCTTCACTGACGTTATCCACTCTCTTCGTAAACGAAGTGGAAAATTTTTTTTCATAGGATCGGAACCTTTCGAAAGAGATGATTGTTTTCCGGCAGCAAATGGAAAGTGCCATTTATACCCAAAAACTAGCCAGGAGTTCCATTTATACCCAAAAACTAGCCAGGAGTTGAATGGCAAAGTTTAATCTATTCTGGAAATAATCCACCCCTTTCATAATTTTTGGTAAGAATGAATTTCATTCATGAGAGCTTTAATTAATGTTGGCTGCAAAGCCGACATAGAGAGATGTTTTTATATCTGAAAATGGAGGGAACCCAGTAAACAGTGGACATTCTCGGGAAAGAATTGAATCTGATGTCACCCCACGGATCCGCCCCTTCTCTTTTTGAAGTAGCTCAGTTTTCCTCCTAACCGGGCCAATCAGTTGTTTGCTATCGGACAAATGGTGTGCCCTCCATTCCGTTCCTTTTCTTTTCCTCTCTTTCTAAGCTTTTTTCAAAGGATTCTTTTTTTCAGTTTTTTGGACTGTAATGGTCGCATATAGGTTAGAAATTTATTTGGGGATTTCCCACTACCATTATTTGGGATCCGTGCTGGACTCCGTAACA